AAAAAACACTATCTATGCAGACAAAGAAATTAGAAATATGGTTGCATGTAGAAAAAAGTCCATCTACATCCGTAGTTTCAACCACTATCTATATTGATGAATAATTTATTCCTTCTGATCATACTTCTAACCTGCTCTTTACTATGTCTGTCCATTGCAATTGAGTATTTCACAAACACTTCAATCTCAACATCTAACCGTTATCATTTATTTCTCCAAACTTACTAGTCATCTTGTATTTCCTAACACTGTTAATAGATACTACCATCCACCTAGGTATTTAAGCTGGAATTTTAAGATTTATCTCAAATTCCCACTACTTCTTTCATACTCTATTTCCTATGACTTTGTACCCCTCACTCTACAAAAAACAAACAAACAAACAAAAAAACCCAGACATTTAATCAGGGCCCTGTCCTGTCATTATATCATAAATATCCATCAAACAAATATCTTTTCCTCCAATTGACTCTCATTAAACCAGCATTACAACAATAGTCTACAATCTGATTCCACAGTGAACTTTTCGTGATGTGAGTTTTATGACAGCATCTTCCTCTATGAGCAGCAGGAAAGTCCCAATTACTTCCTTAGCACGGCCTATGGAGCTCTGCAAAATCTGGCCCTAACTGGACCTCAGTTTTCCTTATCTGCTGTAGCTTTCTCCAAAGAAATCTTCTGCCTTGGACACACTGGAAGCTCTGCACCATTTTCTTTTGTTTCTGTATAACTCCTGCTAAAGTATCAATGTTCAGCTAAAACTTAATCTTCTTTAGGAAATTCTTCTAGATCCCAGGCTGAAGAGCTGCTTTTTTACCCTTGCTTAGCTCCCTTAACTGTAGCCTTTATCACTAGGTACTCTTAACAACTTATATTCTGATCTATCATTTCCTATGGGCTCCTTAATGGAAGGAACAGTGATTTGTTTATCTCTGTCTCTAGCACTTTCTATTGGGTTTTGCATAATAAAAGTGCTCAATAAGAGTTTTTTTGTATGAGTTTTTTATATGAGCTCAATAAGAGTTTTTTTTTTTTTATCTTATATTAAGGCATAGATGAATGAACAGATGAATGAGTAAATGAATGAACTGGATTATGATTAGCTACAGAAAAATTTCAAATAAAGAATAATGCTGAATGGAAGAAACCCAAACTTCACACAAGGCCCTTACAAACATCCAAAAGCCCTGTCACTGATGTTCTCTGTCACCTCTAATGAGTCACTTAGTCTCTCATCTGTAAAGCTTAATTAGTGCTTTGGCAACAAGTGCAAGCTCTTAAAATGCTAGGTGTTAAATTCATTGCTTCAGAAACACTGCCACACTCATATTCATTTGCAATACAACTATAAGATATGCAACAATACTCCATTTTCAATTAAAAATCCTAGGTTCCCTCTTGCCTGAAATAGATTTAATGACAGCTGGCTTCCAGCTGCTCCTGAAGATGTCTCGGCTTCAAACATAGGAGGATTACCACTTCTGAGACTCAAAGTTTCTTCTTTTAATTCCAGGACAACACTCCATGATGCCGCCATCCTGGGAGCTCACAGAGTGAGTAATCAGAGCGAATGGGAAGAGAAACAAACAGGCAATTCTCCTAATGGGAACAGTTAACTGGCTCACTGTGGGTTAGAAGGCTAGCAATGTTATAGTTTCTCCACTGGGCCTGAATCACTGCGCTGAGTGGTCTGCTGCAGGGAAAGAAAATGCAGTTTGTATCTCCTACAGCTTTTAACCAAGTGTGGAATTAAGGAAAGTGCAAATTTAAAACAAAAGTTTAAAGTTACACACAAAGATTACATGGAATAGAAACAATTTGATTCAATTCAACAAACATGCTTTTGAAGTCCTGCTACCTGCAAAACACTATGTTAGGTAGGTTCTGTGGGAGGCACACTTATAAATGAGTGTGAAACAGTTCTGAGCTTTTGAAGTTTCACAGTAGTAGAATTTGCCACTAATATAAATGGACTGCTTATAAAGGCTAGTATGGAAATACAAAGTCTTGAGGAGACAGGAAAAGGAAAGGTGATTTCTGAATTAGGGTTTGAAAAAAGGGTTTCAGAGGAAGTAGAATCGAGGTGTCTGGGTAGGCTCCCAAATTGTACCCCCTCATTCCTGCCAGATTCTGAAAAAGTCGAGAAAAAAAGATTAATGGTGGAAGGCAAAATATCACCATAACTACTGATGACACTAGGCTTGGAGCCTCATCTACCATCAAGTGGGCTTGCTGAAACTGACCCTTGGAACTAGGCAGACTTACCCATCCACCACGGTCATGCGGGGCTGGGCTTACCTATCCAAGGGGATGGCTGCCCATGTAAGAACTTAGGAACTCAAGATAGCACTTCTTCTAAAACATTATCACTCACCCAAGAAGAACGGTAAAGATGAGCTGAGCCTAGTTATTCTTCCAAAACGTACTTATCAGAGAAGTCATTCTACCTCCTCAGAGAAACGCCCAGAGCCACACTACTTGAGCTCCCTTTAAGGAAGGGAACATTAGGAGTGGTAAAAACACATCCCAACATATGATAGGATCTTAGTGGTGAGAGGGAGGGAAGGACATTTCAGGGCAGGGGAAGAGCCAAATGTGAACTTTGTAAGTAAGCCCCGAGGAGATGGAATAATGTAATGATTAAAACCATTATCTTTGGAGTAAAACAGATATGGGTTTAATCCTCACTCTTCTTCATCTGAACAAGTCACCTAAACTTGATTTCTTCATCTGCAAGTTGAGGATTGTCATACTTGTTTCGCAAAACTCAATAAATAGCTATAATAATGTCTACTACTGGAGTGACTGGACAAGGGAGTATGTTGTGTAATCTGACATCCTCCTTCACAAAGTGATTTTGGAATTTGAGTTTCATTAAATTATGTATTTCTTCCTATATTATAGGCTTGGTGAGACGAAACTCCTTGCATTGGGTTTTCTCAAAGTGAAGTGTACCTATTACCCACAGTTAAGTCCACCAGAGAATAAGTATAGGAAGGAGTGGAATGGATCTGTGGAGCAGGAGAGAACAACATACGCAGGTACAATGAATAGCACACAAAATAGTGTAGAGGTGAGTGCAAGGATGCAATAAAGTGTGAGTGATGTGGTGTAAATGTAAATGTAAATGAAGACTGGCAAAGGTAATAAATGTGGAAAGAACAGTAGGTATTAACCTTATTTACAATCTCATCCTTCCCTAGAGCATCTAACTTTCTTTCCTTTTCCTATTTTATTTTATTATTATTATTATTATTTTGAGACAGAATCTTGGGCTAGAGTGCAGCGGCATCATCATAGCTCACTGCAACCTCAAACTCTTGGGTTCAAGCAATCCTCCTGCCTCAGCCTCTGGAGTAGCTTGAACTACAGGCGTGGCATGCCACTGAGCCTGGCTAATTTTTCTATTTTTAATAGAGATGGATTCTGAGTTGGCCTCCCAGAATGCTAGGATTATAGGCATGATCCACCAAGCTGGTGCATCTTTTTTGATGGGACCAGGCTAATGAACCTGAACAAGTTTTAAACTGAACCAATAAAGGATATCTACCATTCTTAAGGGCTCCAAATGATTTTAAGTGCATGATTGAATAATCAGAAGACTATAATGACCATACAGCTGAAGATTATTCAGGAATTTGCTTTTGTGGTTATTTAGAAAGTGATGTTAAGGGTGGTTTTATCTTATTATATAGATATGTTCATGGCTGCAGTATCATCTTTGGCTGTTGATTACATGTGACTATAGGGAAAGATGAACTATTTATTTTGTGTATGCATATGCTAGAATGCTAAAAGGTATTAAATTACACAGATTATTTTTTTGAAGAAGATGACTATGTAGCAAACTGGTGTCTTCAAACAGAAGTGTTTTTAAGCTCCCTGGTGAAGCATTTACTCTAATATGAGCTCTGAACTTAACAACATAAAATGTGACCTTGTGCCAATTTAATGGTCAAGTTAAGAGAGAGAAGTTTTTGTGTCTGGGTTAAAGGCCATGGGGATAATTGGGAGCGTTTATTCATAGCCCTTTAGGTATGACATCTGACAAGGAGAGAGAAAGAAGATAGCAAAGAGCTTGCATGTCTCTTCATTTCCATCATATATATTTTCAGGAGACCAAAACCACAAAAAACTCTGGAAATAATTATGTAACATGTAGGGATGAGTTTATCTTTAAAAATGTACAGTTCTTAGATGTTGAAAATATTATTGCTTGATCATTTCTTAACCCAGCCATCTTCCAAGTATATACTTCCATCATTTCTATAGTGCAGCTGTCCTACTTGCTTTGTAAGGCAAAATACTGAGATTCACTAAAAAGAAACTTTTTACACAAGGGCACATTTCTTCTTTGTGCTATATTACTGCTTTGAATGGCCCCAGGTCAGTATTTTTAGGAAGTAACTGTGACATTTTTTGGAAGAATTCCTCCAGATCCCAAGTAATTTTACCTTTTTTATTATATGTTCATATTATATGTTTATTATATCTTGGCCTCACTTCCAAGAAATATTCATATGATTGTAACATGGTGACTTAAACTAAATCTACTTTTATATTTGAATATTTCCTGGGGTTTCTCTGTGCCTTACAGATATTAATACAATGGTCCTGAAAGAATGCTTGTAATTTAGTTTTCAAGGGATAAACAGATATTTTGGTAGTTGTGTTATTATAATGGTTAGGAATGACAAATGACTTGAATAGTAAGTATACATCCTTATTTCCACTTTGATGGAATGTGTGGTTTATGTGAATTGGTCATTTATAAGATAACACTTGGACTTTCCAAGTCAGACACACCTGGACTTGTTTGTGATATTTGATAATGGATCCCTGCTGAGAAAATTACATGACATTTCTGAAATTCATTTTATTCTTCAGTAAAATGGGTTTTATAATGCTACCTATCTCATAGAATGATTGTGAAGATTAAATGAGATTATATATATATATATATATATATATATATATATATATATATAAAGTACTAGCACAGTATCTGGCATGCAGTAAGCCTTCAATACATGTTTGATATTTTTATTTCCTTTGAATATGAGAAATGGAAGAAATCTTTGAACTTAATCAAACTTACCACTAAACTCAAAAAAACCCACTGTAGTTAAATTTTATGTCAGATTATTGCATAATTTTAAAAGAATCTTTGGAGAAGGTGACACTTTATCTCTATGTCTGTGATTTTCCTTTAAAATATTTTTCATTTTAAGCCTGCCAGCTGCAATTTAAGTGCATATCCTCTTTTCAATATTTTTGGATTGGCACAAGAGCTGATTTGGCATATAATTTATGTCTCATGTGTATACAGTATGTAGTGTATATAATTTCTATATATAGTTTTTTATAAAATGTTCATCATGGAATTAGATCCTAAGTCAGCAATTCTCTTTCAAATGCAGCTGCATCCAAATGACTCCTTCCCTGGGGAAGGAAATATTTTATTTTCCCCTAAGGTCACACAAAGCTATAAACATGAAGAGCAGCTGACAGAAGGCAGTTTTTCTCTGAGGGAGAGCTGCTTTTTCCCTGTCAGTAGTGCCATGGCGACCCTTGTCTTTGGTTCTGTCATTAAGGATTGATGTGTTTTTGTATGGGTTCCCAGAGGAGCATTTATGTTTCATGATTCCCTCTGAGGATTAGGATAGTGCTTTGCAAGTGTTCACTCAATACTCATTTGTTAGTCAACAGTAAAATACAATAAATGGATAACTGTGGCAGCAAGGGGAAGTGATGTTCCCTATCTTCCAAATTTATGTAGTATGATGTGAAAGTGAGACCATAGGGTACACATTATAGAATAAATATTTGGTAGTGTTTCTTAGCCTCAAATCCATGGACTGCATAAATACCATGTGATATGAAATTTACCTGGATGAAGCAGACCCATAAAATACATAAAAAATGTTGAATAGGTAAGAAAGTGTTTTTGTCTAGACATAGGTTTTATAAATTTTATCAATTTTTTTAAAGGATCCACAAGTCAAAAATAAAAGACCATGACACTGATAAAAGCTCTAAATTCATAGAATTCTCTTTGTATGCAAGCAAACTCATTAAATATTTAATCACATTTTGCCTGGCAATGCTTATATGTTTATATCTTGGCCTCACTTCCATTCAGTTATGCTAACCAAAAACCTAGAAAGTCATCCTGGACATTTCTCTCATATGTAATCCAGCATCAAATGCTGTCAGTTCTACTGACTAAATACTGTTCAAATCCATCCACTTTTCTCCAACTCTGCTGGCATAGTTAATCCACGCTATCATCATCTTTCATCAGGACAACTGCAATAGACTCATAACTCTTCATTGTTATCTAGTCGTGTCCTCCACCAATCCATTCTCCCCAAGGCAGCTAGGGGAACTTTTAAAAATGCAAATCTGATTATATCTTCCCCTGAATAAAACAACACACTGATTTCCCATTTATCTCAAGGTAAAGGCAAATGTCCCAAACATGACCTTGTGTGGTCTGGCCTTTGCTCACCTCTGCAGCTTCTCTGAAGCTCCTATTCGCTCTCTCCACTGCAGCCAGAATAACCTTCTTTTAATCCTTTATATGTGTCACATCCTCTTTTGCCAAAGGTTCTCAGCATGTATTGTTCCCTCTGCCTTAAATACTCTTTTTAATTTTTTTTCTCAAATTAACTCTATTAATGTTTTATATCTCCACGCAGTACACATTACTTTGGCAGCATCTTCCATAACTTCTATTATGCACATTCCTGGAGCCATATTCCTCTATTTCAGAGCACTTGTTACAAGTGTATATTTTTATTTACTTTGTGATTATTTGAAGAATGTGAATCTTTTCAGTTAGAGTACAGGCTCCAAGAAAGCAGGTGCTTTTAACATTGGTCGAATTTCCAGGTCTTGGCATTGGGCCTGGTACAATAGGCATCAATAAGTATAAGCTGAGTGAATGATCCAATGGACTCTTTAGTGAACTATAATGTTTTTAGAAGGAGACATTATGGATGTGTGGTGGATTGAACAAAATGAAGGCTTTATAACCATTTGCCCTAAGATCAAATGTCCTCTTTACTCACTTTCTGGCTATATGGTCTTGGGTTCTACAAGTGGTTATGACCTGTGAGTAGGAAGTATTGTGGTTTCCAGTTTACAGATGCAAAAAACTGAGGCTTAGACAACAAATAGATAAGCCATTCATCCTATGTGTTAGTTTCGAGTTCTGACAATGAAAGAGTTTTATTAATTATTTTCTAAGGTTCAATCTTCTTTATGACATCTAAAAGATTTGGGGATGACATTTGCGCAGTTTAAGATGTTCTCTGTCTACATTTGTTAGGTTAGCTGTGAGAGAAATTTAGACTTTTATATAGAGACAGAGGATCTGAACCTGACTTTTCACTGCAGCATCTTTTTGTTTAAATACATGAATAAGAATCTTATCATAGAATGAGATCCCAAATAGGGTTTAGTTACCAAACTCCCCCCACCACTTTCTAGTCCTTCTTTCTTTCCTATTATCCTTTAAAATATATGCAGTAGAAGCTATGGGGTGCCATGATGATTGCTCTTCAGAATCAAGGCACTCATTCTCTCAGCTGCCAGGAGTGTTGATTGCTGACAACTCACAGCCAAGTCCCTCTCCAATTTCCCTCTTCCAAAAGAAGATTGGAAGCTGCCTCACCTTAAGCACTCCTCCCCTTCCATGAGAGAAGCTTACTTCCAATGAAGGGAAGATGTGAAAGTACAGAAGCTGCCCTCTTACTTCAAATGGAGACAGCTCTGGAGGTGTGGCATTGCAGTGGCACAGCAGTGGCATTGCATTATAAGATGAAAAAATGGTACATTTGAGTCAAGCATAAGCAAAAGCAGTGACATTAGTATGCTGCAAGAGCAGATAGCAGATACCTCAGAACCCACACCACCCACTACTGGTAAGTCAGTATTTCTCTCAGTGCTAACATCTATGGCTGTTTGAGGAGTCTCTTATGACCCAATCACAGAGAAGAAAATAAGTTAAGCTTGATTCATGGATGAGCCAGTTCAGTGTGTGGTTACAAGCCGAAAAATGGGCTGTTACTGTACCATAGACCTTCTTGTGGTGGTCCTGAAAGATAATGATGAGAGAAAATCCTCCTGATGGGTAGAACTTTGGTGAATGTCTATGTTATGTGGGAAGAAAAGTGGCCTAAAGTGAATACACATGGATTACTGAACAGTGTTTAGTGGCTTGGCTGGGTATTAGGGAGGGGCCTGAAAAGAGATAAAGAAAGAAAGAAATAAGCAGTAACAAGAAGATTTGGAAAATAAGGTATGTGTATTACCTTATTTTGTGTATGTGTATTACCTTATTACCAGGAGTGGTCAAAGTGTTAAGATCTTTGAATTGCACATTAAAGTTCATCAGAGAGCATCTACCACGCAGGAGGCATCAAACAACCACTTGATATTAGCCATTCTTGGTCATCAGCCACCCCATTCCTAGTACATGGGCTCTGTAAGATAGTAGCTGTTCGTTATGCATAGATCCAACAGCATGGGGTTTTATTCTTCAGGATTGATCCAGTTACTGCCACTGTCAACCTAGAAGCCACAGGGACCACAGCCAAGTCCCCAACATGGCACCATCACTCAAGGAAACCAACCAGCTATTTGGCAGCATGTTGTCTTCATTGTACTTCTTTGACTTTGAAAGGGACAATTTCTTTTGACTGAAATCAATACATATTCTATGTATGGATTTACCTTTCCTTCCCAGAGGGCTTCAGTTAGAACCTCTGTGGCGGCTCACAGAGCAATCCACCAACTTGACATCCTGCATAAGGTTGAAGTAGCCCAAGGGACTCACTGAATAGCTGAGAAGGTATGACAGTGGTCACATGTACATGGGACTCACTGGTCCTATCACATACCGCACATGCCAGAAGCGGCCAGACATATACAACAATGGCACAGTCTCCTGAAGGCACAACTGAGCTATTGGCATAGGTATAATGCCCTTCAAAGATGGAGTGCCATTCTATAAGACACATTAAACAGCTTTAATCAAGGAAGTGGTACTGTGTCCCTAGTAGGTAAAATACATTTATCAGCAACAAAGCAGTGGAAGTGTGCATGTCCTCACTTACTTTCACTCCAAGGGGCCCACTGGAGGTCCTTATACTTTCCATCTCTACAAATCTGGATTCTCTGAATCTAGACGCCCTGGTTTCCATGGGGGAATGCTTTCATCAAAGGGGACACAGTGAAGTGTCCCACTAATTTTTTAGCTTTAGCTGACACTCAGTTACATGTTAGGCTTCTTGAGTGAAGAAATGAGCAAGCAGGCAAAGGAATCACCACCCTGACAGGGAGAGAGGTGTGCCTTCTGACACCCAGTGTCCACAGTGACAGGGAAGAACATGATTGTTATATCGAGTGAGTCACTGGAGTATCTTTTGGTACCTTTTTGCCACATCTTGACAGAAAACTGATGATTACAATAGTCATAAACTGAGAAGGACATGTTGACCTGGAGTTGAGACCCCTCAGGGATGAAGCTCTGGGTCTAATCAGTGAGTAAGCAATTGAGGCAAGCAAAGGCAATGAGGCTTGCCAAGGGCGAGGGAACTCTAGAATGCACTGGGCAGGACAACAACAGTGTCAGTTAAGGATTCAAAGTCAGCTTCAGAGGTGGGGCCTATAGTTTGTTTCACCACACTTAACCATTATATGTTTTCCCTGGAAAAGAGATTAACCAGAATCTCGGGGCAGCTATTTCTAGTAGAGTAAACTCTGTATGAAGTAATAAATCTGAGCAATCCATAGACTATGGTAGCACCAAGGAATCTGTCTTGTTTGAGGTGCCCCCTTCCATGGGAGCAATCTTCCAATACAAAGAGACAAAAGGGGAAGACTCTGAAAGGTTATCCAGCTCAAGAGTCCCAAAGGATCAGCAAAAAGTCTCTGTTGCAACTGCCTCACAGTTCAGCTTTTCTTTCTGCCCAGTCCTGCTTTTACAGGGTTGTTAGGAAAAATACTCTCCAATAAAACTCCTACGTGCAACCCTTAGTGTTTGTTTTCAGGAGACCCAGTTTATGAAATTTGTGTTATAATCCCAAAAGGAAATTCGGCTACTCTTAAAGGTTTGGTGTTTACTTGATTTTCTGGGGAGGTAATATGTGCTGGAGGGTAACTTGAAAGATATATTAGGATCATTCCATAGGGTCACAACCATAGATTCATCAAATGAAGACTCATTGATAAGGTGTTATGGACTGAATTGTGCCCTCAAATTCATATGTTACAGTCCCAACCTCCAGTGTCTAACAATGTAATCATATTTGGAGATAAAGTCTTTAAAAGGTGATTAATTTAAAATGAGGATGTTTGAGTCAGACACTAATCAAATATAAGTTGGTTTCCATATAAGAAGAGAAAGATACACCAAAGGCACTATGCACAGAGGGACAACCACCTGAAGAGGCAGCAAAAGGGTGTCCATCTGTAAGCCAAGGAGGAAGGCCTCAGAGGAAACCAACCCTGCCAGCATCTTGATCTTAGACTTCCAGCCTCCAGAACTATGGGAAAATAAATTTCTGTTTATTAAACACCCAATCTGTGTTATTTTGTTAGGGCAGTTTGAGCAAACTAACACTTAAGGATGTTTTAAATTGGGGATGCCATATCTTTTTTGACTTAATCAGCAAATATTTCTTCTTTTCTCAAGAAAAGAATTTTCCAAAATGGAAAATTCATTCTAAAATCTTGCTGTATGAAAACTCTAACTCATCTGTAACCAGGAGGAAGGCCTGGGTCCTCCCCTCAGATCACTCCTCCCTGTCCATGTTGTAACCACCCCACCCCATGAATAATAAAGATCCCTGTGGCAAAAATGAAGATGTTTGAGTGGGACCCTAATCAAATATATGTGGTTTCCTTAAAAGAAGAGAAAGATACACCAAAGGCACCATGCACAGAGGGACAACCACGTTGAGAAGAAAGAAATATCTTTTGGTCGCAATATTTCCCGTTTGTTTTACTGTATTCTAAAGATTAAGAACTAAAATCTTTTCCAAAGAAATTTGTCACCTTGTAATAGGATCAGACACTTGAAAGATGATAAAGGGACACCTCATGTTACCTTGAAATGCCTAACCCCTAATCTGAGATCATGTGTGACTATAGGCCAGACCAAACAAAATCCAGTTAGGAGTTTTCAGTTTAAAATAAAAGGTTGGGGCCAAGGACCAGTAAAGTGGAATCTAGCCCTACGGGCTCCTTGTAATTCTGTGGTTTCTCACACTATGGTTCTTTGCTCTCACCAGTGAGAAATGGGATGGGTCAAATTATAATAAATAATATTACAACAAAAAACACAATGCAATAATACATCTAACATCACTGACCATATGCAGGCTAAGGTGCAAATAACCATGTGTATCACCTCATCAACACTTCCAACAACTGGAATGAATATACCTGTCTTAGTCAGTTTGGGATGCTATAACAAAATACTATAGATTGAATATCTTAAACAACAAATACTGACTTTTCACAGTTCTGAAGGATGGGAAGTCCAGAATGAAGGTCTTGGCAGATGAGGTGTCTGGTGAGGGCCTGATTCCTGGTTGCAGATGGCTATATTCTTTCTATAAACTTACGTGGCCTTTATCTATCTATCTATTTATTTATTTAGGTTCATACACATGGAAGGAAAAAGATCTCTTGTCTCTTTCTCTTTTTATAAGGACATTAATTTCATCATGCATACCCCACCCTCATGATATAATCTAACCCTAATTATCTTCCAGAGGCCCCACTTCCAAATACCATCACACTGGGGATTAGGACTTTAACATATGAATTTGGGGGAGACATAAACATTCAGCCCATAGCAACACCCATTTTAAGAAAATTGATGCTAAAAGCAGTGAAGAACCTGGCCCCAGATCAGGTGGTTAAGCAACATGGCCTGATTTTAAACCCAGAACTTACTCTCTAGGCAGCCTACACTCTTACACCCAGAGCATCAGTAAAGAAACTCTCTACACAGAACTCCAGACCCAGGATGGGGACCACTGAAAATTCCTATGCCAAAGAAATTTAAAGGTGCTTCTGGGAGCAAAAGTCCAGTACATAAGGGAGACTGAACATTTTGAAAATTATTTTCTCATTTCTGAGCCTGTTCATATTTAATGGGCCTAAGAGAAAAAGTGGATGAGTAACTCTGGTTGACCTGTTTGCCCTCCCTCCATGCCTTCCTTTCTTCCATTTATTCAGACCTTTAAATAAAACATGGGACTAGTCTGTCTGCAAAGTGCTGCTCGTGATGCAGGGGATGCAAAAGTGAACAAATCAGATGTAGCTCCTTGACTTCCTGGAGGTTTTCTTCCTTCTCCTCTTCCTCCTCCTCCTGCTCCTTCTCCCCCTCCCCCTCTTCCTCTTCCTCTGCCTCCTCCTCTTCTCCTTCTCCTATCTCTGCTTTTCCTGTCCTCTCCTAACTACCCTTTCCCAGCCTATTCTAGAAGGAAACCAGTCTCTCATAACTTGGTAAGCGTTGTCTACCCTGGGTCTGTGGAATGCACGCGTGGTCTCACTTCATATTGTTTGCATAAACTATAAACTCTTCCTTTCTTACACTTTCTTTTTCTTATGGTATGATTTTTTTCATGTTGTGTTTTTCCCCATTTCTTCCATCACATTAACTTATTATAAAATATGATTTCATATCAAATGTCCAAGAGGTTCTGATCTTGCTATAAGTACATAAGAAACTATATATAATTACACTAGGTTAAAACAGGTAACATGGTAACCACTGGCATCCTAAAAGTAGACTATCTGGGGCTCACCATTCACCTCTGTTCAGTATGGGAGTTGGAGGGGATCTGTGGGGCTTCTCCAGCCTGGCTGCACCTTAGAATCACCTGGTGAGCTTTAAAGACTCACCAGCACTTGAGCTCCAACCTAGACCCTTACTTAATTTACCAAGTGTGGGTCCTGAGAATTGGTATTTTGTAAAATATCCCCAGGCAATTTTAATGGTAGCCAGATGGGAAAAAATGGACTGCATCCTTCGTTTATATCCCTTCTGGCTTTAATGTTCAGTCACCTGTAAATGTAACCTTTGTAAAATAGATACTAAAAGTATCACGTTTTTGAATACTCAAGTTTCATCTCTTCACCCTATTTTGGATAATTAGCCTTTGTCGTGAGGATGCCCCATGCCATGGTGAAGGTTTTAACATGGGGTTAGATGGTGCTGCCTAAATGTTTCCTGAATAGAGCAGGTTTTGTTTTGTTTTGTTTTCCTCCTTCCTTGCTGCCATTCATCATCTGCTGCAAAAGCTTTTCTCTCTGCCTCCTGCTAATCTCATCTCTATCCCATCCTCCGCACACTTGCCAAGAATGATTAATCTTTTAAAAAATTCAGACTGATCTTATCACTCTTTTGTGTGTCACTCCCCCTTCAATAACTGTTATTTCCCTCAGGATCAAGTGCAAACTCCTTGGGTATACCACACAAGGAACTGCCTTCCCTGCTCAACTTGCGATAGCCACGTGCAAACGCTCCACATATTTCAATCTTATTAAAGCAATCTGTTATGGACTTACTATGTGCCACACATTTTTAAAATGGCTTTACATACAGTAATTTATTGAAGCCTCCCACAAGCCTATGAGTTAGATATCATTATTCTCCCTTTGACCCATGAAGAAACCAAGACTCAGAGAGGTTCAGTAAATTACTGAACAGACACAGCTAGAATTCCACAGACTTGAGATTTAAAAAATCTAAAATTCTGGTCTCAAATAAATCCTGTGCTTCATTATCACTATGTGTTATTACCTATCTTGCGTATCCCATCAAAGTTCACTTGTTGTCCTCCTATTTTGAATTTCATCTTCCACCAGATATTCAAATACTGATTACATCTCTGATCCATTACAATTCAGAAGGGTTACTTCTCCTGAAAGAAGTCCCTAGACCCCCACCCTTCCTCACTCAAGGTTTAGTGTCTCTCCAATACTATCCAGGCACCTTATTTCAACATCTCTATTCTGACATTTATTGCACTACATCGTCATTTTCTTTTTATGTATCTCCCTCAAAGTGGAATGAAATCTGATCTGTGAAATCCTTGAGGGCAGGAAATGCGTCTTTTATCTCTGTATTACTATCCTCTACTACACTGCAGAGTGAAGTCCCTGACATAAGATGCTCTTTTAGTAGGGTTGCCATATAATTTATCACTCAACCCAGGAAATTTTGCAGGTGCTATTATTAATAATAGTTATTCTGGGGTGAGGTGATAGATATAACCCTGTATGTATGATTGCCTTATTTTTAAAACTGCTTTCTAAGCTGATTTCTCCAGTGTCTTAATAATCAAATTCTCCCAGAAAGAATACAGAAGTTGATTTGCCTTTAAGTAAATCCTTTTACTTTGCAAGTCAGGTTGTACAAATTCTCCATGAGACGAGTGTTTATATTTCCACATCTATACTTTTGCTTATAGCTTAGTTTAAATAAAGAATTGGTAGTTGTATATAGAATTGATGCCTTATTAAAGGAGATGGTATTTAGTTAATGATGATAAATCATTGGCATTATTTAGAGAAAGCTCATGAAGTTGGTGATCTTATAGTTAAGTTTATTGCTGACTGGAGTGGTCCACAGATTGCAGTGTTCGGGGATCAATGAAGTAGAACCTTCTTTCTCTTTCTTTTATTGCTGCTGGATGTGGTCCAAGGAATGATTCTACGTCTCTCTGCACATCCCCTCTCTGAGTCCCTTCAGGAAAACACTAGTGAATAATCAGGTTGATCCTGGCTTAGTGATTAAGAGTGTGCTCTCTGAAACATATAAAAAAGTGCTCAACATCTGTAATCATTAGGCAAATGCAAATCAAAACCACCATGAGATATCACCTAACTCCAGTGAGAATGGCCTTAACAAAAAGTCCCCAAACAACAAATGCTGGCATGGATGTGGAGAGATAGGAACATTCTTACACTGCTGGTGGGACTTCAAATTAGTATAACCCCTGTGGAAAGCAATTTGGAGATACCTCAAAGAGCTAAAAATAGAAATACCATTTGATCCAGGAATCTCACTACCAGGCATCTACCCAGAGGAAAAAAAATATATTCTATAATAAAGACATCTGCACTCAAATGTATATGGCAGCACAATTCACAACTGCAAAGATGTGGAAACAATCCAAGTGTCTATCAATACATGAGCGGATTAATAAAATGTGCTATATGTACACGATGGAATACTACTCAACTACAAAAAATGATGGTGAACTAGCACCTTTTATATTATTCTAGACAGAGATTGAGCCCATCCTTGAAGTGAGGTATCACAAGAATGGAAAAACATGCACCCCATGTACGCCATGAAAAAAGTACTAACTGATCAACACTTAGGTGCTCACACAGTAGTAATATTCATCAGGTGCCAGTCAGGTAGGAGAGGGTGGAGGGGTGGGTAAACTCACAACTAATGGATGCGATGTGGAGCACACTGTATGGGGAAAGGGCACACTTGTAGCCCTGACTTGGGCAAGGCAAAAGCATTATACGTTACCAAAATGTTTGTATCCACATAATATTCTGAAAGAAAAAAAAAAAAAAAAAAAAAAAGAGTGTGCTCTCTGGTGTGGGAGTGTATGGGGCTCACTTCTCCTATTAGCTGTGTGATCTTGGCATGTTACTTTACTGTGCTTCAGTTTCTTCATCTGTAAAATATTAATAAGTACTTGCCTCATGTAGCTCTTATGTGCATATAGTAAATATCTTAAAATACTTAGATCAGTGCCTTGGATTTGGTTGGTTCTATGTAAGTGTAAGCATATTAGATAAATGGCCAGTGTCCATGAGGGAACATGAGGGGAGATAGAGATAGAGACTCTCCCTATCTTTGGCTATTCCATTTCTCTCATCTATGACACCTGCCCTTATAGTTTTTTTCTGCATCTGCCTGAGTATATTGGTTATTACTTCATTTTTGCATCATGAGGCCTCTAGTGGGTGGTACAATCCTGAGATTTTATTAAGGCTGAAGAAGAGGGCAGACTTTATAGGTCTCAAGCTTTAGCCATATGCCAATGGGAAATACTGTGGGCCCTCCCTATTAGCAGGGTCAAATTCCCAGACTCAACCAACTGCTGATCAAATAAATTATTTTATTAACACTGAACTGTCACTTAAAATGATGAAGATTGTAAATTATATATGTACACTTTACCTCAATAAAAATAATTTAAAAATAAAGCAGATAAAGAGAATGGAAAAAAAATAAAAATAACAACAACAACAAAAAATAAAAACCAATGCAGTATAACAACTGTTTACATAGCATTTACATTGTATTGGATATTATAAGTAATCTAGAGATGTCTTGAAGTATACAGGAGGATGTGCATAGGTTATATGCAAATACTACACCATTTCCTATCAAGGACTTGAGCATCTGTGGATTTTTGTATCCACGGAAGATACTGGAACCAATCCCCGAAAGATTCTTAGGGATGACCATACCCAGCTAATAAAAAGTGTTACTTCCCATCTTTATGTATGAGTTCTTAGGATTCTTTGGAGAAGAAGGACATTTGGCAGTATGGGATTTGGACATTCTTTGTGCCTTTAACTAGCCTCATATTATATCATCAAAACAGTCTATTTGAGCTGATAGGAGGGGGTTGAAATATGAAGCAGGTAGACCAGCAGAAGGAGAAGCCTCACACCTTGCATCATCGTTGCCTCACTGTAAAGCACTAATGATTTCCAAATTTTAGTCTTTCTTTTATCACCTTCATGGCTTCTGCCTTTTTGAGAACCACTTGCATTACTATTTGCCTCAAAGTCTTTTTCATATTTATTCCATATTTAAAAATCAACTGTTTTATAAAAATTATATGTCACTATTATACATATAAGGCCAAAATTGCCTTCTAGCTTACCGTAAATAAAAGATAGGCTAAAAATACATATGATGACAAGAAAACGGTTATTAAACCAAAGTAGAGACTCCTGCTTGCCAACATGTTGACTTCCAGGCTGCTTCTTCCTTTGTTGCAAAATGAGCTTAGCAGGTGTTTGTAAGTAAGGGCACACCAGCACCAAGGGGAGAGTGTTCTCTTGATTTGATCTAAAAGATTGAATAAGAAAGGGAATGACTTTGTCAGCATGATATTTAGTGTCTTTTGTTTTTAACCAATCTCTTAGAAAATATGGGAAGTGGGGTAGGAGGCAAAGAAATACAGTGTAAAGACTAAAGACTTGAGATGTGAGAATTAGAGTTAAATCATATCTCTGCCACTTAATATGTGTGTGACCTTACAACTACATTTTCTGAGTGTGATTTAATCGGGAAGCATTTAGACCACCTCCACGAGGATTTAGTGATGATCACATTAGACAATGGATGTAATAGGCCCTCCCACACATAGCCTCACACATTGAAGATGTTCCAAGTTTAGTAAATGATTTACTTTCCCTGAAGTTATTTAAAAATTTATGGGAAAATTCTTTTATATGCCCAGCTACAAAATTTTAGGAGTGATAAATACTGGCTTTCATAGCTCTATGGTAGATCATACCTGAACACTCCAGAGACACTACCTGGTTCACCACCCCCAAAATCTCTTTTGTTTATTGAAAAAAATATTTACTAAGATCCTAAAATGAACTGGACACAATGGTAGGAGCTGAGTCACATAAGTGAATGATGGAACCCTTGTCAGCAAAAGATCTATTGGCAGAGACAAATAAACAGAAAATTATGACAGTGTATTTAATCAGTTCTAGTTTTCACATTTTTTTTAATGTTTCTGTGAAGTATGTCTTACACTTGATGGCATCTTGTACATGATGAAAATGGTTAAGTGCTGTTGTGGAAAGAAGTCCAGGATGCTCTGGGGAAGACAGGAGAGAGTAGACCTCAGAGAAAGCTCCCCAAAAGACAAGATGCTTAGTGACCTAGAAGGACTGGGGAATGGACCAAGGAAGGAGGGAAGTGTCTAGGAAGGGAGTGGCATGTGCAAAGTCAACCTCATGTAAGTGGCAACATGCAGGGTCCGTGAGGCATCCTGGGCTGCAGTGGCACAAGGGGAGAATAAGGTGGTGATGGACCATGAGGCCAAAAGTTAGAGGTCAGGTCATGGAAAGCCAGGTTAAATGGTCTGGACTTGATCTGAAGAATAAGGAATCCTTTAAGCAAGGATCCGACATGACTGGATTTGCAATATGGATGGATTTCTCTGGGTTGCTAGAGTGGAAAAAAGTGATCAATGACATTGAAGAGCAGAATGAGGAAGGGACTTCTTGGGAATTGAGTTCAAACCCGCCTGTCTGGCGTGAAGAAATCAGGGAGAGGAGGCCAGGTCAGCGCTGTCCTGAGTAGTGGGGTGGGAGCCAGTATGCTCTGGGCACGAATCTGTGGCACTGGGTGGTCGGGCTCTTTGCCTGAACTCACCCTAAGTCAACAGAGGCTGTATTTCCATTACCATTTCCGGGCAAGCCTGTGCTCCTGGCATCATCCCCATGTGCCCTAGGGGCAAATTTAGCTGGGTTTTGAATGTGTGAATGCCCCATTATAGCTGAGTGTCTGAAAATCTCTCTCTTCACAAACATTCACTGAACAAGCAGAATCTGTCCTCAATAGGAAACAACTGTGCCGCTGGAGTTGGCACGAGGAAGTTGGAAAGAAAGCAAGTAATGGCTCTGCTGCCTACCAAGCTGCTCCTTCCAGCTTCCTGTTGAAGGCCCCTTTAGTTCTCTCTCCTCCACAAACCGGAGGGAAAATGCTGGGTATTCGCATTCACCACTCCAATTGTTTCAAATTAAAGTACCCCAGGAGCTGAATTACCTCAGCTAATGTTTCTCATTATTGTGCCACCGCTCCAAACTAAGAGGTTTCCAATGAGATTCCCTAAAGACAGGCATTGTTCCTTCATCTGTTCAAAAATCAAGCACTTGCAAAGTTGCAATCGTGTTCACCACAGAAAGCATTGCTTTGTTTGGTTTCATAAAAGTGGTGGGGTAGGAAGAACTTATTGACAACACAATAGAAAACAAAAAGGCCTAGAAAAGAATAGTTTCCAGCACCTAAGAAAATTTTCTTGAAGCCCCTTATATTTTTAGGGTGTGACAGAAAAGCTTTGCCGAGCCACACGTGAAGCAGGTGACTGTTGCCTGGGCCTGGCTCGCTCGGGGGAGCCCAACAAACCTGAATTCCAGCAGACCTGGGATTCAGTCATGGTTCTGTCACTTACTATTTGTTGCATCTTAGACAAGTCACTTAAGTTCCTCAGAACTCAGTTTCTCTACCCTCACAGAATAAGTGTTGAGTAAAATGCAATGTACTATTTTAAGTTGAATCATGAAATATGATTCTAAAGGATAAAATTTGAGAAAAATTTGAAAAAAGCAGTTTCTCTTTGGTTCTTAATTCCAATAATTAACTAAAAAAAAATCACTGAAACCTATTATATGTGACAGGTAGGTTTGTTGATATGTGTTGTGTGTGTGTTTGTGTGTGTGTTGGGGTAGAGGGCAGTAATGACATTGATAGGGTGTGTTCTGGAAGAAGGAACAGGATATGCAGAATTTCTGCAAAAAAGAAAGGCTTGCACAAGTTTGAGGATTTGAAAGATCTATGTGGTAGAAACACTGAAAAATAAGGTAGAAAAATTAGACTTTAAGGGTAAGATGGGACCAGGAACGCTGATCATTTAGTGACTTATAAACTCAGTGCATTTATCTAAATCCCTGGAAGACAGATGGAACACTCAGGTCAGGATAATTAGGGAAATTTGAGAAAAATGCATTAAGCGACTGTTTATAAATGTGTAGGCAAGATGCAGTGAAGTCAGTAGGGTTAGTGCAGCACCCAGATACTAGAGGAACATTGGGGTCTGGTTACGGAGCCTAAAGTAAAGGGCCAAGGGGAGGGAACAGTGACCTCATAGAGACCCACAGTTTGAATGAAGAGGTACCTTGAAAGTAGGCTTTGTGAAAGGGATGCAGACAGTTCAAAATAACCCCACAGGAAGGGAGCCCACCAAAGGAAAGAGTAATTTGACTTCATTTTCCTTCCTCCCTACATCTTCTCGGTGGTGCCTTCCTCTGGCTTTAAGCAGCCAAAGACAGAAGAGCTCATTAATGGGGTGATCCATGTGAGTCAGCTCCCAGGGCACTGGCCAGCTTGGAGAAAAGGGACAGTGGGTCTGGAGTGGCAAAAGGAAGGAACATTCCCTGAAAATGAGTGTGTCTTTATTTTAATGGCAATGGGAAGCTGCCAGATTTAAACTCTTTTGCTTTCTAGAGCCCAGACTTCTCATGCTGACATTTACTTCTCTAATTTGATTGCTTGGAAATAATAATAGTAACTTTTGATTAGACTATTGAATGTATTAAATGCAATAGTGCATTGAAAGCATTTAGAATAGTGTCTGGCAAATAGTAGGCATACAAAAAAATTTTCACTTTCCTGATTCATATTATTATGGCAAAGAATAAGGAACAAAAGTTTAGAGACTTCTCTAAAAATATCATAACTAGTCAATGTTAGAACTCAGAGGAAGGAGGGTCAGGAAGGGGAGGGAGGGAAGGAGAGAGAGAGAAGAAGAGAGAGAGAGAGAGAGAGACAGAGAGACAGAGAGACAGAGATTTCAATTCAATACAGCCACTCTAATAATGGTAATCTACACTTTCCCTGACTACTCTCCTAGATTGTGACTTCCTCTAAGGTGAGGATTATGTGTTATTCATTTTACATCTCAAGAACCCATTATGACACACAATTTTTTGCTCGAAAAATGTTTGATGAATGAGTATATAAAACACAGTGACAGAGGGTATAGAAGTAATTACTGGAGGACAGAGGAGAGCTTTCCTTGCAAGCCTTAAGTCATTCGCTCTTGTCCTATATAAATAATTCTATAAATAACAAGATGTAACTTAGCTTCTTCAACAAAGTACTGAGATTCAGTAATACATTGTAAATAATTGACATATTGTACGACTGCTCTGATGTCCATCCATTACTTTGGTTGAATATTTGAGTCACCATTCCTTAACCACCACCCCCCATTCCATGTATATATTGGAAGCTGAGATGCTTTCTAACTTGTAGAAACTTATTAAAGCCAACATTTTCTACAGGATAGGGTTTTTGTTATTGTTTGGTAGAGGAATGGTGTATTATTTAATGTACGCTTTTAGTGGTCTCAATGGAGTTTTATTTATTTCATCTTTCACTGAAAGTATGTGGAAAGCTTGGGGCTTCTCTAGGGAAATTGAGGTTGAAAGCGTATAAAGTTGTAATATTAATATCTTACTTGCATGGAAGTAAGGTAGGATTCTTAAATGGTAACAGAGTAACTTAGTCATCTTAGGGTTAGAATGATTTTAGAATAAATACTGTTTGTAGCTTGATACCAATAAAGCCATAAGGAAAAATAGACTAGGAGTCAGGAGATTGGGGCCATATCAATGACAGTGGCTGGACAGGGAAATTTCAGCACTTGTGAAATTAGGATAATAATGTGTTCTGCCACCACCTCAGAAAATTCATTAGAATCAGAGGATTCTAATTTTATCTGTGAACATGCCATAAGTAATAATATAAAGGGTAATGCAAAACCCATGGTTATTATTTTTCTGTTTATTAGATTTGAATATTATACTTTGTTTTTCCTATTTGATATCTTTGGTATTTATGGAGGTTTGTTTCTAACATTTTATCAAGGTTTGTAGCTATGCTTGAGTCTAGAAAGGCCCCAGTGTAGAAAAAGGAATGTCTGCCTTCCATTCCCTTGTAGATTTGGTAGATCTTAGCAGATTTGTAGTAAAATTTGGGTACACTCACAGCCTACAGTTGCATTCTAGAAAGCATAGAGTTATACTGTGCCTCTTATTCACTGTGAACATTTAGTTAAAATAACAAACATTTACTAAACCTGTATTAAAGGCCAGGTGCTGTTCTAGACAAGGGGTCTCTAAATAAAAATTAACAAAAATGCCCTCTTTTCCAGGGAAGTTCATGGTTTATTACAGTGCACTGCAGTGATTAAGAGCTTTGGGTAGGTAACCTGATGGTCTCTCTCTTGAAGCCTCTGTTTTCATTATGTGTAAAATAAAGATAAT